ATATATATGATATGAATATATACATATATTTGTCGCGACGTACTTTTTACCGTGTAGCTGTATGCACATATATGGTTGGCTTTACTTTTTTACGTTGTGTGACCCTATTTGAATATATAGTATATATTATATATGCAGTGTATATATATATTATGAACCGCCAACTACTGTCCACGTCTGTGGTCTATGCGCGACTGTCAGCCCGATGGGCTGTGGATCGAGTTTTTGGGCATTCGTGCTCTGTATCGGTCTCGGTCTCGAACTCGGATTCGGAATCGGAACTCACGCTGATGTCGTCACGGGCTGTGACGCATCGCCTAATGGCAATTGGAGCAGCACACAAATTCGGACAAACCAGAGACCCAAGTGCAATTGAACTGGCTGATTATTGGATATTGAGTATAGTTCAACTGACAGCATTCAACGAGAAGTATATAAAGAAGGTATAAGAGGCACTACAATGACCATCTGAAGGTGCAGCCACTGAAGGCAAGGGTCATCTTGGATGGTTACATTATACGGATAATGGAGAGCTATGCATTCTATACAGTTAAATCATCTACCTGCCTTTACACTCTTTCGGCACATATTGCCTAACTGTCACTGGCCCAATTATCAGTTTTCGCTTATATATGTATGTGCATATATCTAAGCATTTTTATTTACCTGTCTATAACGCAAGATAAGGGCATTATCGTTAAACATGATACATCTGTTTTTTACTTAAATAGAGTTTTTTTTTTGGTTTTCGCTTTTACTACATTTTTACGAAGATTAACTAATTATTATTATTTGTTATCGCAAACCGATATTCGTACATAGTGCTATTCCATGCACAGGTGGAATTGAACTTTAGCCATAAATTACTCGACTTATGGGTTACACTACGAACTGCACTACCTATAAAACAGGTTCCAGTCGAGACTGCTCGACTAGGAGATACCCTAAACCCTCTAAGCTGATATTCTACTCACTCTGCACTTATTTTATGCACATAAGCACGCGCTCTGCTGACTGCGCAGTTAGCAGCGACAGCGCTTGGGCTGCCCTGCGGTGTGGGCAATATTATGAGAATTTATTAGTTGAATAATTTCTCTTGTAGTAGGACTATCCTTATGAAACTTTCAGCGTGATCATATGGTTGAAATGTGCGTTTCAAAGCACAAGTCTCTAGTACTTGAAATACGTTTTTTACAATTTATGGCGAAGGGGGGGG